TAATTATAACAAGCTATTTTTTAAGATTTGACATACTAGTTAATAACATTTGACACTCAAAAGTACTAATAAAGAGTTAAAAGTGGTTCTCTTCATGATTTATTTGGAAGTCAAGACAGCTGCTTCACAGTCCATTGTAAAATTACCTCGCCTTGCCTCCTGACCATGTTCCTGTGAGAAATAAGTGGCTTACATTTTTTAAAAATATCTCAGTACCATTCAATAAATTCAGTCACATATTTAGATGTTACTAAATGAAATTGTTCTTTTATTTTGTGAAATGGGTAGATTTTTTTATATCACTTAAACATTTTAATGCACAATGCTATTCCAGATTTGATTCCTTTTTCTTCATTTGTTCTCTCCCGTGTACGAATGTTTTAAGATTTTATCTGCTGACCTCATAATACCCATTTGGCTGTAGAATGAGTATTTTTAATGATTTTGATGGAAATTTATTTATATAATCACTTCATTTGATAGAACTTTAATCTGAGCTGTTATGCTAAAAAAAAGAGAAACCCTTCTCATTAATTCTTACTGTATTTCTCGTAAGATGTTGCTTTCTCTATAGTCACCATGTATATGCTTCTGGACTTGTTCCGAATAAGACACTGGTTATATCTTCATCATAATCTGGAACACCTGTGTTCGTCTAAAGTGTTTTATGTTACTAATTTCAAATAAAAGAAAATGGAAAACTCCTTTCCCTCTCAAAACAGATTACTATAAGATTTATCAGTTATTTTAGGAAATAGATGTAACCTTTTAATTCCTGGAGTCAATTTGTTCTGTGGCTGGAACTACATCCTTATGGATCATAGTTCAACTACTGTATTGCCATGAAAACTAAATGTTTAACTTAGCCTACAATCTCTCCTATCTCTGTACACTTCATAAATTTGATTTCCTTTTTTAAATTCTAGAAAATTTAAGCTCAAGTATTTTAAAATGTATGTTACCTAAAATATCCTTGAAATGTGAACGTGTGTGTGTGTGTGTGCGCGTGTGTGTGTGTACGTACACACACCTTGTTTCTTTGACTTGGGTAGAAGAATTTCTTTAGCAGCATGGGAGGAATATAAATGGAATATCATACTGTCCTGTGTCATTGCACTGATTGCACAGATGGATGTTTTATGTACTATAAAATATTAAATAAAAGATGGGCCTGTGCCTTAAGCTTGTTTTAATATGTTCTGAACAATTTTTCCAAATACTGAAGTATAAAAAATGCTATTTCTAATAGATACAGTGGGGCAAAAAAGTATTCAGTCAGCCACCAATTGTGCAAGTTCTCCCACTGAAAAATATGAGAGAGGCCTGTAATTGACAACATAGGTAGACCTCAACTATGAGAGACAAAATGAGAAAACAAATACNTGTCATTCAAATCTGAAATTGTTTTATAACTGCGCTTTTTGACAAACATTGCTGCATCTGCCTTGGAAAGTAAAGACAAGCAGAGTTGGAATTCTTTAATATAATTCTTCCTCCCTTTGTCCCTGCAGTGACATCATCGATACAAAAAGCTCAGATAGCTGGATTATTGGATTCCCATGCCAAATAAAACTGAGAATTAAGCAGCCTTTTCTCCTTTTTGCTTTCCCAGAGTTAGAAACTCATTTACAAAGCAAATAGACTTGCAATACCTTGTGGTAGGCTGTCTTAGATCTTTGGAGGAAAGAAGTGATATAAATCTAATGAATGAATGATTAATACTTTCAATTCTAATGGATACATTGTGGTATAGTCTTTGTGGATTAAATTCTGTGTATAAAATGTATGAAGTATTTGGAGAGGGAAGAAACATAAATATTGGAATGAAAAGGTCATGAAATTTAAAACCACAGTAGATCTAGGTTACTTCTAGAGGTCCCAAATGTCATTTTTTTATTTTTTACATTTCCTGGTTTCTGGATCAGCTACTTTTTTGTGCATATGCATGCCTGTAAATGTAATTAAAATACATATATTCAGACATAATATGTCAGTTTACAGCATTTATTGTCAGCCCTGTTTCTTTCTATATTGGACTAATCGTGATAGCCTTTGAAATCTGAGCTGAGAAATGCGGATCTCTTAAATAGTCTATTAGCAACCAATTTATCAGCCTTGCAGATGTTTTCACAGCTGGATGATGGATTGATTAATTGTACTGTAATCCTTTTTCTATGTTCGTGAGATATGTTTTTAACTTGTAACTAATATATGTATTAAGTTTGGAGAGTCCAGGGAAACTTGGGTTCTCTGAGAAAGATGTTCAATTTGAGATAACTTTAGAAGCACTAAGATTCCTCTCTCCCTCCCTCCCGCTCTCTTCTCTCTCTCTCCCTCCCTCCCCCCCTCCCTCTCTCTGACAGGTCTTATTCCTTTTTTTCTTTTAGCAGTAAACGTAGTAGATAAAATAGTGTGAGATTTTGTGATTAGTGAGAAAATACTGTTCAGAAACATACATAATTGAATTTGTCACTGATATATGCTTTTCTGGAGATACCTTGAACAAGCACAAATTAAATTCAACCACTTTGAAGTCCATAAAAATATGTTTCCTAATTTATGTGTAGTTGAAGAGAGTTATAATGAATTAGTTGAGAGATACTTTAAGTAGCTCATAATTTCCAAAATAAAAGATGCTCTAGGGCTGTATTATTTGTTCTTACTGACTCACACATCACTTTAATATTTTTAATATTATCTGTTTTTGTGTCTGAGTATAATGCATAAAGCCTTGCAAAAAGAAACGTTGGTTTATAAATTGCACTGAAGGTTTTGCATACATGCTAAGCAAATAGCATATTATAGCTCAATATGGTGTGACTCAGAAACCTTGTACTGCAGTCTTATAGTCAAATGGTGTCTCTCTAATACATTTAACTATATGCCCAGGACATTCATTTTTAAGTTGTTTGATTATTTCTTTTCTGGAAAGGGATTCCCTCTTGTCCAAGGTGAAGAATATATACAATGATGTTTTTCAAATGTTGGCAATGTTTAAGATACTGGCTGGGGGATTTGGGGAGTTCATACATCTTATATTTGCCAGGTTTGAAAAACACTAATCTAGAAAATGGCTTGCTGGTGAGAATTTGTTTTGGATTAAGGAAGGAAGGACGAATCCAGGAAACTAGTTTTGAAGCTAAGCTAGTTCCTTTGTGAATATAAAAGTTGATTTCATTAGAAAATGATGGAAGTCATAGGAAAAGATACTCTTCCCTTCCTGCTGTCACAGTGTAGTATTGTGATCTGTGATGGCTGCTGATTAACACTCTGCACATCAATACTTGGTGGTATTATCTGTGAAAGAGGAAATAGTTTTACTAACTTTATCTGGATGAAGTGTTCAAGATAGGCAGGTCATCCTGAGATACAATGAGACTTAGCACTGGTTCTTGAGTTTTATTCAGTGTGAGGGTATTGTGTTCTAGATCTAAATGTGTTTGGGTTTTACAGTATATTTTATAAAACAAGGTCTCATCCTCTGTCTTGCTTCCTGTTTTTTTAATTGAAAGATTGCTTTTCAGGTTGCCTACTCTTTCCGTAATTCAGATCTTGAGTTGAATAGACTTACAGTAGTATATGGAGACATGTACTATTATTTGGTTTATGGTCGCTTCATTTTCCTAATATGAAACACACACACACACANGGAAATTGTGAATGTTGTGTTTTTAAAGTGTTGTCTTTGTCTATTTATCCCCCTTCCCTTGTCTATTGTGAGCTATTGTGAGTGGGCAGCATACAAGACAAATAAATACAAATACAAATGGTCAGTCCACTGCCATCCTTTGCCTAACAGCAAAGCCGACCAAGCCTGTAAATGCCCAGAAACGGGTGCAACTCAGCTGACCTTTTGTCTACATCTTTGCATTTGTCAAGCGCCCACCTTCCCATTCTTAAGCCTCCCAAGAAAAGAAAATGAAATAAATCACAAGGCCCGCCGGAGGAGGGGGGCGTGACCCTATACGGGTGGAGGGTCGAATCGTTTTAAGAAACTAATCCCGCCTCTTACACGCACACACAGATACACACACACCATCTACTCCCGCTTTAATATAGTTTAGTAGAGCAAAGGGGTAGGGGCGGGGGAAGAGCTAAGCGGTGCGTGCTGGTATAAATCTCTCATTTTGTTGCGTGTGTGAAAGAGCAACCCCGAGGTCGTTTTCCGGCCTTCCGCCTGGGATCTTTTGTCTTCCTCTCCCAGGGTCCAGGGCGCCCCTGGAGTCGGCTGGCGTGGCTCCTGGGGCTCCACGCCGAGCAATGGTTGATCCACTCCGAGCTCTGCCACTCTGACGAGGTGCAAAGCGCACTTGTCCGAGAGAGAGAGAGCGAAAGCGAAGCAAATATATCTTGCTTTCGTTTCGGGCCGAGGCCGTAGCGAGCGGGAGACCCAAAGAGCCTTCCCCGAGCGTGCCATTGGCTCTGTCGCAGGAGAGCTCGGCGGGGATTCTCGCTTCCAGAGCCGTGAAAAAAAACTCGCCTCCCTCTCTTTCCCTGCAGCCGTTACTGGCCCAGCTCTGGGGAGAAAGAGGTTCAACTCGCCCGGTTCGGATCAAAAGCTCCGTTTTTAGGGAAAGAGAGCCTGGAGGAGGAGGGGGGGAGAGGAGGCTTTGGAAATAAAAGCTCCGCAAGAGAAAAGGGGAAAGGCGCGCTCTGGGTTCCGGCCTCCGAGCCTTCCCTAAGCCGGGAAGCCCTCCTCGTTCTCATTCTTCCTTCCCTTCCCACTCCTTGTTCCTCTCCCCCCCGGCTTCCTTTTACTTGAAGCTCCTTTCAGGATGGGAGGGAAAACCAAATAAAAAAACGGGAAGGAGGCAAGGGCAGAAAATGGTGTACGGCTGCAAAAGAGGAGGAGGGCATTTTTCAAGCCGCTTTCTGGGACTGAAAAGTTGAGGGGGCCCAAGGAAGCAGCAACCGGCCGGGACTAAGACGACCCCCTCGCTCCCACCCCTCACCATCCCGCGCCGCCTTCTTTTTTCCCTCTCCCCGCCCCCGCTCTTCTCTCTCCCGGGAAGAAGGGGACTAACCTTTAAAGAAAAAAAAGCGCTGCCTCTGAGCAGAGAAAGGAGTAGCTGGGAAGGATGTTGCTACGGAGTTAAAACGACGAGAAAATTGCCCTTCCCCCGTTCCTCCCCCCCCCCTTTTTTTTTCCGCCACCAGTTTCTTTTGGCTTCGGCTCCGGTGCCAAAAGAGACAATTCTCTTTTGTTTGTGAAGTCCCCCTCCTTTTTTCTCTCTCGCCCAGCTGGAGAAAGGAGGAAAAGGCTGGGGAGTCACCATGGCGTCTCTCTTCACCAATGGACCCTGCATCCAAAGTGAAGCCGAAGTGGGTCACCTCTGCCGGAGCCTGGAAGTGGGTACGGTCATGACACTCTTTTACTCCAAGAAGTCCCAGAGACCCGAGAGAAAAACGTTCCAGGTCAAGCTGGAAACCAGGCAGATCATTTGGAGCAGGGGGTCGGACAAAATCGAAGGCGCAAGTAAGTGGCTTGGATTTAATCCTTGGTTAAGCACCCGAAAAAACGAGCGAGTAAAATTTGAGGTAATCCCTGCATGCGGACGGCCGGGATTTTTGGCCCGACCATCTCCAACCAAGCATGTTTATGGTTGTGCTGGCTCGTTTGAATGAACTTGGAGCTACGTTGAAGGTCTTCACGAGTTAATAAACGCCTTCCTTTCCCTTCGATAGGAGTAAACAGAAATGATGCTGAAGATAGTCCCACATCTTTGGCTGCTTATGCCTGTGGTAGACATTTGTGGTGTAACGCCGGCCTAAAAAAAGAAAACTGGGAGTTGTAGTCTAACTACCTGGTGTAGGCAACTTGCCAGTGGCTTGGCTGTACTTTGTAGATTTGTTGACATGTGGTAGAATTGTCTCCAAAGTACTCTGGCCCACTAGACTTTTTGACTAAGATTTGGGTTCAGATCTTTGGCTGATCTAGAATCGGTTGCTACCTCTCAACCTGGTCTAATATGAAAATACTGTTCGTCACACAAAACATAATTTGTAGAATTTGGAGGTGTGAGTTGCCTGTGATATTCATAGATTTAGCTGGCTCTAAAATTGGATCAGCCCCATTGGTGGAGGTGTGGACTATTGTTGGCAGCTATGTCCTGATAGAATCTCTTACTTTTTCCATTCGATGTTAAAATGGACTTTATAGCCTACCTAGGAGTTTCTGAGAAGTGCATGGTTGCCTTTTGTAGAATAAACTATGTGGACTACCAACCAGTTCTTTCGGTGTGGAACATCTCTATCATTAATAAACATTGTTTTGCGCTGTTTTGTCTGGTCCTGGTAAAATTATTTCCCCACAGTTCATTTTAGAGAACAGTTTGGTATGTTTTAAAAATGTTATTTAATGTGGAACCTTTTAGTTTTGAATCTTCACTATACTCAGAATTCAAAATATTTTATCTATTATGCTTATTGATGATCAGTCAATGATGATTTAAATATCAGTTTCAGTCATTTGAGAATCCAAATATTCTGGTTCTCCCTCTTTTTCAAAACATCAAACTTATAATAGGAAAAGAGAATTGTGATGTTTCTGCGTATACAGAAAACTGGATATATATAGAAATGCTCAAAATGGAGAAAGCATGTCCAAATACTTTAAAAATGGAAACTCTTTACATTTGGCCTAAAGGCCACAACTCATGATTTCTACAGGTAGGAAAAATGTTATCTGAAGACCTATGGTGTGCAAAAGTTGCTTTCAGGTTAGTAGATAAACAACTGTTACTTGTTTTGCTTTTGAGTGGGTCATAAGTGAATAAGCAGTGTGGAATAAGCAGTATTTGTGCATAAGCATCAGAGCTTATGCACAAATTTAATTATTAAGTTTATATGTTAATTATCCCTTAGTAAGTTTGCTTGATTTTTATGGACTTATTTTGAAAGATGAATTTCTCCATCAGTTGTATTATCTGTATGTCTCCTGATTTACAGTGCTTCACTAACAAAATTTTATTAATATGAACAAAAAGGATGCTGTGTTTTCTATGTGGTGTCATTCAAATCTGAAATTGTTTTATAACTGCGCTTTTTGACAAACATTGCTGCATCTGCCTTGGAAAGTAAAGANCTGTCGTCTTTGAATGAGCGGAGAAGGGGGGACAGAACAAATATCCATAAATATAAATTAAAGAATTAACCTTTTTTAATGAAATGCATCAAAGACAGCCTCTTTGTGATTTGGACACCTAAGTTTCTAATGACCAAGGACACACTAATCTAGCAAACAAAGGGACAAATAGGGAAGGGAAGGAGCAGCTGGTCAGAATGTTATAGAAATAGAATGAGACACTTATATCATATCATCCAGAACAAGGATAAATTTGAACATTGCAAGTAATAACTGAACTACGAAGATGAAATCAGGCAGTCTAGCAGAAATATGTATAACTATACAAGAGTCCAATTACCGACCATCAAGAATATTGGGAAAGATAAGATGATAAAACTGATACATGAAATTGAGAACGTCCATTGAAATAGGTAAAAAAATTAATTATAAATGTGGTTTTTAGTGTGTCACCTTGTAGTTTAGCAGCTTAGAGCTGTGTAACTTGTGAGATAGAATGAGTTGCTATCCTTGCATCCACATCAGGCAATAAAATCTTAATTTGCAAGTTTTGCAACCTGCTCACAACCAGTTAAGACACTAAAGTCGTCAGATTTTTCTTTCTGAACACTAAGAAAAATGTAATCTTTTGAAAACAGTGGGCCTTGTTTGATAGGTACTGCCCAAATATAATTTAACTCTGCAGAAGGAATAAAGCCTTATTAAAAGGATCACAAATACAAATTTGACTGTTCTGAGCAGTCTCTTACAACAGGAAATTATTCTACATTACAAGGCATATCAAAGTCAGGAATCTTAACTGCTTCTCCAAGCAATATGCTAGGCGATAATTCTTTCCAAGGAATTGAAAGGAGTTCCATCTGGATAAAATGGGTAGATTATTATTTGCCAAAAATAAAAAAAGGTAATTTGATATTTTCAAAGAATTAATACATGTCTCTAAATAGATATGGCGCTTTTTCAAAATCCACTAGTAAAGATAAAGTTCAAAGCTTGGCTTGGGCTTTGTGAGAAGGTTCCAATTAAGTTTCCTTACAACACAAAGACTCAAAGTCTGAATGCTTTCTTTTGATATTTACACAATTTGGTTTATTATACAAAATATACATTTCTACTGTCTTAATGGAGGTAGTGACAGATTTTCAGAAAAAATGGAGGTAGTGACAGATTTTATTTTCCTGGGCTCCAAGATCACTGCAGATGGGGACTGCGGTCAAGAAATTAAAAGATGCTTGCTCCTGGGGAGGAAAGCCATGGCAAATCTGGACAGCATATTAAAAAGCAGAGACATCATCCCGCCAACAAAAGTGTGTATAGTCAAGGCTATGGTTTTCCCAGTTGCAATGTATGGCTGTGAAAGTTGGACCATAAG